CTACCTGTCGACGATATGTATTAGATGGTGATGTACCACGTGATGGCGACAAACCACTTTCGGCAGCCGCCAATAGAAAATCATCAGTGGAATCCGATCGTGTAGGAAAACGACGTGATGGTATACGAACAAAATATTGTGAACTTGACATCAGGTTTTGACTAGAAGTGAGTGTATCCTTATTGTCGAATTCTCACTCGGAGGGGAGGGATAGTTGATGTGTTCTTCTTTTTTTTTTTCTTCAATAAACTATACTTACGATGTTTTAGCTGCACGTGCGGCTTGTTCACGCCATACTCGAATTTCTTGAAGACAAGTCTTAAAAAAGAAAATAAAATAAAATTTTTTAATATGAAAAAAAAAATTTACCGAAAAAAAAGTACAAAATAATTTAAGATCAGTAAAAAATTCTGTAAGTGAATAATTTTTTAGATCAATAGCTAAGAAATCACATAAATTTTGATAAGCATTTGTCATTTCTCGATCGAGCTGTTCTAATCGAGCAACATCATTATCAGCACGTGTTATAAAATCCTAAAAAATAGAATCATAATAATAAGAAATCAAATTTTGATATCTAAAAATTTAATTCTACTTCAATAGCTTCAGTAAATCGATCTCCTTCAATTGGTTCTTCATTTTCTTTTGCAATAAGTAATTCTTCTCGAGCATTTTTTAATTCTCGATTAATTTCTTGTGGTTGTTTTTGAAGTTCAAGTATATTAACTAAAATTTATAATAGAAACAATATTTTCAATCTATTGAAATATTCAAGTTAACTCACTTTTTGATACACCATCAGCAAGTAAATAAAATTCATCAGAAAATGCAAGTAAATCACGATGTTTATCTTCAATAGCTTGTACAATAAAATGAAGTAATGAACGACGACCATCATTTGCTTTTGTTGAATGTAACTAAATTAATAAATTTATTTTAAAATTAAAAAGAAAATATTCATTGTTATTACTTTAGGTAAAAAACTAATATCAAATCCATGTACGGGTTCATAAGATTTACCACTTGAATTCATATAATTTCCTATTGTTAAAATTAATTCAAGCATTTTTTTAAAATGTATTGAATGTCGAACATGATCACATGCATTACGAACTTCGACAAATGCCTAATAAACTAAAAAAAGATAAAATTTTTTAAACAAATTTTACAAACTTTATCTGTTTCTTCTACTGTTTCTTTATAATTTGCTTTGAATAGAAGTGTTTTTAAACGTTGTTTTAATCGTTTTATATCA